GGGCCTAGTATGGCTTATAACCTAAACGTATCTCCATATGCTTTCAAAAAATTGCTAGAAGTTATGCATTAATTTAAAAGGGAGAAAGAGAGGGACGCTCCCCTTCGTTTGCAAGCTCTCCAGATGCTTGCAAAGTCCAGAGTTGGGCCAGGGTCAGCGCTGGGAGCGGAGTGTCACCTCCCACGTGGGTGGTAGGGATCCGGGGACCTCAGCCGTCACCACTGCCTTCAGTGTGTGTTTTAACAGGAAGCTGCAGTCAGGAGCAGGGACGGATTCAAACCCAAGCCCTCTGATGCAGGACAAGCACATTTTAGCTGGTACCTTAACTGCTAAGCCCACCCCATAGACTTTAGATCTAATACTCCATCTTTTTAGAAGATCTGTTTAGTTTCATTGGAAAGAGAGTGAGAGAGAGAGAAGGCAAGAGACAGAGGCATCTTCCATCTACCGGTTTACTCTCGGATTGGTCATAATGGCCAGAGCTGGGCTGGTCAGGAGCCAGGAGCTTCTTCCAGGTTTCCTGTGTGGCTGCTTGGGCCATCTATTGCTGCTTTCCCAGGCACTTTAGCAGGGAGCTGAATTGAAAGTGGGGCAGCCAGGACTTGAATCAGCTCCCACGTGGGATGCCAAGGCTGCAGACGGAGGCTTGATGTGCTACATCATGGCACCGGCCCCTAGCTAGAATATTCTAGATGACTTACAGCACTTAACACAACACAGATGACATGCAAATAGTTGTTTCATTGTTTTCATTTAGGGAATAATGGCAGAAAAAAAGGGTGCATCTCTGATCAGTACAGATGTAGGGTCCCCCACTTGCGCTAATATCTTAAGGCTATAATAGAATCTGTGGGTACAGACCACGTGGCTGTGAGTACCAGCCAAGTATGAGTAGTGATGGGTTCACAGGAAGTTAGCCTCTAATGCCATCCGGTGAGTCAGTGAGTGACTGGCCAGTAAGCAGAGCCTCTTGTAGCCAGCCCAGACCATGACTAGAGTCATCCTGCACCATAGGGTGCCTACTGTCCAGCCCGGGAGCCTGGAACTGGGGTCAGGTGGACGGGGGAGGGCTGATGGAGTGGGAGGCTAGCTGCCCATGGCAGTGGGCACTCTGTGTTCCGGGGTGAGCTGCAGATCAGCTACAAGATGGTGGGCCTGTGTGACTGCCCCAGGAGAGCTTGGGGCTGGCACCTCCCTTGGGCTAGGCTGGCCAGCCATGCCAGACTACTGCCTGGGCATTTCGAATGGCCTGCATTGGTCCAGCCTGTCCTGTTGTCTGTGTCTTGCCAGCAAGGCTGGCTGTGGGGTCCAGGCTAGCAGTGTCCCCTTGTTGTTCCAGGCATGAGGCTGAGAAAGTTGTCTGGCCCTCCAGAGCTCAGGGGCACCGGAGAGAGCCGGCTCCATTGTCCCTTGCCCTGCTGGGAAAGTAGGATGTGGCTTCCGGGATAGGGTGGCATGGTGTGGTATGGGTGTGGCCACCTGTCATTGGGCAGCCTGTTTTAGCCACTTGCCCAGCTGAGTCACAGGGCTTGGTAACACACCTCCTAAAGCCACAGCTCCCGATGGCAGGATTCCCTTCTGGGTGGGCGCTCAAGGTCTCCTAAAGCATGTAGCTGCCCCCTTGGAGCATCCCAGCCCTCTGGCCAGAGCGAGTCCCTCCCCACCAAACTTGCTTGCTAAAAGGCTGTTCTGTCTTCTCACTCACAGTCATTCTCTGTTAGAAGCCGCAAGACCAGGGACCCAGCACCCCAAAGGTGAGGGGTCAGCAGCCCCGAACCTGCCTCTTGTGTCTGTCCAGTCTGAGCTGGGACTCTGAGACCCCAGAGGGCCAGTCCTGCCAGTCACTGCAGCCTCCTGCCAGCTGGACGCTGAGGGTGGGGTCTCCCACGCCCCGGGGAAGCAGACCCCTGGAAGAAGCACACGGCCTGGGGACTGGCCAAGGTGGCAGTGGATGAGCATCGCAGTGTCCCCTGGGGACTTTTAGATTGCAAGGCTGTCAGGAGAGAGGGGGCCCTAGGGTAGTGGGGACCCTTCTCCCCTGGGTGTGCCCAGGCAGGGGTACTGGGCCACTGGGCCTGTGGTTTTCCAAAGCTTGTTTCTAATGACCACTTCGCAGAGCGCAGCATCTCCCAGTGGGGGAATCCTGGTGGAGGGGAGTCGAAGGCTGTCGTGAGAGTGGTCAGGCCACCATCCTTTGATGCCTCTCTCACCCCACCCCTCCTACCCTGCTCCCTGCCCCACTGCCTCTTTCTGCTTCCGTGGTGAGTTTATATGCTTTGTAGTCCCCGGGTAGTTCTCACTCGGGCTTGGCCTCCCAGGGGACATAGGACTATGTCCTCCAGACCATGTTGTCATGACTTGGGGTACTGAGGTACAGTGGGTCGAGGCCAGGGGTGCTGCTAAGCTTTCTGTGATAAAAATGACCTGACCAACGGCCTCAGCGGGCTTTAGAATCTGCTCTGCTATTTTTTATTGTTGTTGCTCTATTTGTTTTAAAGATTCATATTTATTATTTGACCGAGAGAGGGAGAGACGGACACCTTCTGTCCCACATGGCTACAACAGCTGGATCTAAGCTAGGTCAAAACCAGCAGCCAGGAACTCCATTCTGGTCTCCCAGGTGGGTGGCGGGGACCCAAGCACTTGGGACCATCTTCTGTTGCCTTCCCAGGAGCAGGAGCAGGAAGCTGTATGGGAAGTGGAGCAGGTGGGACTCAGACTGGCTTCCAGCAAGAGCTGTCTGGGGGCAGCAGCCTTGTGCCTTGGCCAAGAGCAGGAGCGGGGCAGGCAAGGACAGGGAGCCATGCGTTAGTGATGCCCACTGAACAGCACTGCCCCCCGGGGCAAGGTCGGCCAAGAACCCAGGACAGGGCGTCAGTTTCCAGGCCAGCGCTGTCCTCTGGGTTATAAGCTGGGTGTGGCGCAGCAGTAGGTGTGCGTTCTGGCACGTTCTGGGCAGAGCCAGGAGCAGGTCACAGGCAGGCAGAAATCATGGCCCTCCTTCCCTCCTCGCTGTCCACTATGGGGACTGCATAAATCAGAGGACATGGCCGGGATTGTGCCATTTCACTTCCTTCGGAGCCCAGCATGGCTGAGGCAGACCCTGCTTCCCTGCCTTCCTTCCTTTTTGTCCTGGGAACCCACAGCTGGCCCAGAAGGCCATATAGGCTGCTGCTCAGGGCTCTGCAGGTACAGCCCGGACTCCAAGTCCAGCCTGTCCTCTGTTGGTGTAAGGAAAGGTGATGTTTTCCTTTGGTGTGTTATAAATAGGCCATAGCCACGGAGAAGAGAGAGGGGTGGGGGACAGGTGCACCTCCCTGGAAGCTCTTGGTCAAGAGTTTATTGGAATCTTCCTCTCTATGTAATAAAAATAAAATCAATCTTTAAAAAAAGGAATTTATTGAAATGCAGCCGTGTCCAGTAATGCGCACAGCCCGGCCAGTGTTCTCATGCTAAGGAGGGATTCAAGGCACTGTGGCAAAGTGCCTGTTGGCTGCAAAGCTGAGAAGGTTTGCTCTCTAGCCCTTGCCGACCCCTGGTCAGGCCAGTTCAATGTCAGGTTGTTTGGGAGAGAATGGGGAGGAACCAGGGCGGTGCCTGAACGGTTAGGGTTAGGGGAAGTTAACTCCCCCTGAGCGGTTAGTGGGGGAAGAGGGACAGATGGTACCAGGGCAGGATCAGTTCAAGGCCTCCCTGGAGAGTGCCGCCCGGCTCTGGGCCAGCCCACGTCACCCGTGCAGCAGATGCGGGCACCTGCCTGAGAATGCTGTTGATGGCCTGAGGAGGGAGGCACTTGGTCGGAGAAAAAGCTGTCTGACTGGGAGGGGCGGCACTTGTGTTGTGTGGGGGTGGTCAGGAGTGGATGGAACTGGGGTGGTGGAGCCCTGGAGCTGAGCTCTGGTACAAGATGAAGGGTGAAGGGGAGGACAGAAGAGCAGAGAGGGTTTGGCTTTTTGGGATGTTTGAAGGTCAATTCATTGTTAGACAGGGATAGAACAATAGAGCTGGTGCCTGTGGGCAGAGGCAACAGCCCCACGGGCCGGGGTTGGGGGTGGGGGTGGGGAAGATGGCTGGGAAGATGCCCTGGCTGTGGAGCCTCTTGGGAGCAGCAGTGTCCCACCTGGGCCCTGGGATGCTGGGGTGCAGTGGAGGAAGAGGGCAGGTGGCTGGGCGTCAGTAGGACAGGGGAGCAGTGAGGAGGCAGGGGCTTAACTTGGAGGTGGAGGGTGAGGGCAGAGAGACCTGTTAGGGATATGTCAAGGGGTCAGGTGGCACGTGGTAGCCTAACTTGGGGCAGCAGCTAGCCAAGGGGGAATGGGCTAGGCATGGGGAGAGTACCCCCAGGGCCACCCTCGCCCATTCTTCTTGATGAATTCTTCTCTGTGTTCTATCAAGCTGTGGCGGAGAAAGGGTGTGGTTTGACTCCCAACACTGACCTTGAGCTTGATCCTTGCCGGATGTTCCTGCGTGGGTGGCACCTTGAGGCTCTCTTGGGCTCCCGGGGTCTACAGGGAGGACTGTCATAATCTTCTCCCTAGAGGGGATGGGTCCCCCAACGAACAGCTTGGAGCCTCATGATGAAAAGGTGTCACAGTTGGAATCCCTGTGTATGGGACACTGCAGAGCTGCAAGGCTGGGGAGCTGGTTCTGTGGGTCAGAGAGAGAAAGCCGGACAGCCCCCGCCTGTGGGGGAGCCCAACAGCATCCTCCTCTTCCCAGTGCCCGCGTCCTGTCTGCTCCTTCCTCTCTGAGGACTGCCACTCGGATTGAGGTGGCCATTAAGTCTTCAAGGATCGAGGTTAGACAGCAAGAAGAACTTACAGCCTCAATCCCCGCTGGCTCCCTGGCATTGCACCTTCCTGTTTGTTGTAACAACATCCTGGAGTGTGGAATCTGAAGAAGCCCTGTCAGTTACAAGAAAGAGCCTTTCTGTCTGGGACAGAAGTGCATGTCTGTGGCTCCTGGAGCCCTGACCAGGTGTGCAAAGTCTGCCCTCTTCCTCCTCTCACCCCTGCTGAGAGTCTGAGAGTCAAGCTGTGGGCTGTGAGGAAATGGACTCTTGGCTCAGTGCTCAGTACTCGGGCTTTTGTGCAGTGCAGACAGCTCACGCTGACCCCCTGGTCCTTGTTTTCTGGTTGCAGCCCCGTGAACCCAGGCGATTGCTGACCCCGGACCCATCTGCTCGCTAGGGAGGACCGCCTCCCTTCCTGTGCAGCAAGATGCCAATCCTCAAGCAGCTGGTGTCGAGCTCCGTGCACTCCAAGCGCCGCTCCCGCGTGGACCTCACCGCCGAGATGATCAGCGCCCCGCTGGGCGACTTCCGCCACACCATGCACGTGGGCCGCGCCGGGGACGCCTTCGGTGATACCTCCTTCCTCAACAGCAAGACGGGTGAGCCGGACGGGGAATCTCTGGACGAACAGGCCTCCTCGACGTCCTCCAAGCGCAGCCTCCTGTCGCGGAAGTTCCGTGGCAGCAAGCGGTCCCAGTCGGTGACCCGGGGGGACCGGGAGCAGAGGGACATGCTGGGCTCCCTGCGGGACTCGGCCCTCTTCGTCAAGAACGCCATGTCCCTTCCCCAGCTCAATGAGAAGGAGGCAGCCGAGAAGGGCTCCGGCAAACTGCCCAAGAGCCTTTCATCCAGCCCTGTGAAAAAGGCGCTCGCTGGGGAGGGCTGTGCGGAGGGGGAAGCGGAGGTAGACACCGGGGAAGGGGGTCTCCGGCGGAACGGGGCCACTGGCCCGACCTCCCCTGACCCCCTGCTGGACGAGCAGGCCTTCGGGGACCTCACCGATCTGCCTGTGGTGCCCAAAGCCAGCTACGGGCTGAAACATGCCGAGTCCATCATGTCGTTCCACATCGACCTGGGGCCCTCCATGCTGGGCGACGTCCTGAGCATCATGGACAAAGAGGAGTGGGACCCAGAAGAGGAAGAGGATGGCGGTTACCGTGACGATGATGAGGGCCCCGGCAGTGTCAGCCGGGCCCTGGCCTCCGCCACAGCAGCCCCTGCCTTGGTGAGGCAGGAAGGAGGCAAAGCTGGCCCGGACGTGCCCTCCCACACTCTGCAGGATGAGGGCTGGGCAGTGGCAGCGGCGGCTCCCAGCCCTGGCTCGGCCCGCAGCGTGGGCAGCCACACCACGAGGGACAGCAGCTCCCTCTCCAGCTGCACCTCCGGCGTCCTGGAGGAGCGAAGCCCTGCCTTCCGGGGCCCCGATCGAGCCCGGGTCACTCTGCCCAGGCAGCCGGACAAGGAGTTCTCCTTCATGGACGACGAGGAGGAAGAGGATGAGATCCGTGTGTGAGGCAGGGCTGGGGAGGGCGACAGGTGGCTGTTGTGCCCCTCAGCTGTGTCTTCTCCCTGGCCGCGTCCCCTGCCACCTCTGACCTTACGTGCATGGACAGCCGAGAACCTGGCTTTGGACCACAGGCCCTGGACCTCGTGGAGGAGGGAGCAGCAGCAGCGGCCGAAAGGGTTTGGGAAGACTTGAGCTCGAGTGGGTGCCGTCTGCCAGCCCGACTTCCTTCTGCCCTGCCTTCCCCTAGCTGCCCTGGCCCCGGGGGGCTGTGTTCTTGCAGCTGGATTCAATTTTCCTTCCTGGGGCTTCTTCCCCACCACTGGGCCCCAAATGGCTGCCAGATGTCTGCCCGAGTTCCTGCCACATGCAGCCGTTGCTGATCAGCCTTGTTCTCTGGGCTTCTCCGCCGTGATCGGTGGTGGCTGGGGGAGAATGTGGCCCTCGACTCACTTCCATTCCTGGCTCCTGTCCTGGACGTGGGGGCCCCCTTACAATTCTGCTCCCCCTCAGAGGACGGCCGGCCATGAACACTACACAAAGCTCCTTGCAGAGGGAAGAGACCCTGATGGGAGCAGAAGGAGGCCCCACTCTCCGTTCCGGGCTGCGTGAATCTTCTAGAAGGGGGCCTTCAGAGGTGACACTGTGGACAGGGAGCGGGCAGTGCCCTGTGGATTGGTTGGTTCTTTATGATTCTACAGCAATAGCATGGGAAGCGGAACCTGTCCTGCCGCTGCTGGAAGGAACAGCCGAATCCATTTAGCAAGGCTTTATTCAAGGTCTCCTGACAGTTCCCAGTGAATACGAGTGGACTTACTGTGCCAGAGAAGCCAGCTCACCTGTGTCGCAGTGCTTCCAAAACTTAGAGCCGCATAGGGCAGGGGGCCCTGCCCCAGTAGCTATTAACACCTGGAAGAGGCCAGTGTAGGAAGTTTCTGGAAACTGATTTTTTTTTTTTTTTAATAATGCACCCTGGGTTGGGGGGAGGGTGCTGGGGGTGTGTTTTGGCTGTGCTGTTTCCTTGCCCATCCATACACATGCGTGCGCGCGCGCACACACACACACACACACACACACACACACACTACTTCCCCTTCCGTTCTCAGTTCTTCCCCGCTCCAACTTCAGAGGCCAAGGCCCTCAGGGAGGCCCTGCCAGATTTAGCAAAAGCAAAACAACAAAGAATGTGGAGTTAAAATCTGAGCTTCAGGTAAACACACAATTCCATTTTTGTAATACCTGGAAGTTGTCCCTTGTTCTAAAATTCAGGTTGCACACGCAAGAGCGAGAGAGAGAAAGCATTGAAGAGAAACTCGAGTGGGCCCCCTCGGAAGGGCGCAGTGATAGCTGGTATTTTTCTTTCCTGGGAACAGACTGACCCAATTTCTCCCACTCTCCCTGCTTGGGTCTTCATGTAGCCAGCGGAAGGGGGAGAGGCAAGAGACGGAAGTAATTACGGCAAGGGGGTCCTGGGCTGATGGGGGTGGGAATGCAGGCTGCAGCCTGGGGTCCCCCATTGCTTACCAGGCCACGCTGCTGAGACACTAACTCCATTGGTGCCCTGTGCCTGCAGGTGCACTCTGCCATAGTTTAGCTCCCACAGTGGGGTGGGGGGAAGGGAAGAACCCAGGGGTCTCCTTAGCTTCTCCCTCCTTACCACCAGCTGCCTTTGAAATCCCCCAGGCCAATCCCACCCAGATTCTAAGCTGTGTATTTTTTTTTTCCATGATATTGCTAAAGCAGCCAGCAAACATTAAAGACACCCTCTAGCACCCGTGGCATGGTCTCTACTCTGGGAGGGGGTTAATTCAGCGTGGGGTGGGCTGGAGGAGGACAGGATCAGGTGGAGGGGGATGAGTGGGGACTGGGGAGCATCAGGGGCCCTTGCCTTCTTGACCTGCTCCAAGAAGGACAAAACATGAAGGCCGGTGAGCGGTGGCCACCAGGGCAGGGGAGAAGCGGGGAGAAGTAGAGCTGCACCCCACTGGGGATGAGGGGGACTGGGAGAGGTGGTATGGTCACGTGTAGCCCAGGCAGAACAGGGTGGGGGCATCTGCAGCTTGGCACGGCAGTGGGCTAACAGCAAGCCCCATGTCCACCATGGCCCGATCCCGCTGCTCTATTCTTCCTCCACCCGTACAGCGGGGCTGATGTGTTAGTGATTGGGGCTGTCCTATGCAGGCTCTGTCCTGTTCGCATCACTGCAAACTCAGCGCTGTTCCTATCACCCCTGTTTTGCAAATGAGTCAAGTAGAACTGGTCCACCCAGAGCTAAGTGTGCCCCGGCACACTTCCCCAAATGCCAGCCAGAGTTGGGGCTGGGCCAAGACTGAAGCCAGAAACTGGGAACTCAAATCTGGGTCACACGTTTTATGTGTGTGTGTGTGTGTGTACGCAGGTGCCGGGCACCCAGTTTGAGCCTGTTGCCTCCCAGAATGCATCAGCAGGAAGCTGGAATCTAGGAGAGGAGTCAGGATTCTAACCCAGGTCCTGGAACCCAAGCATCCTGAGCGAAATCTTAACCCTGGCCAATTGCCTGATCCTTCACTAGAATGACCAGCAGGGTCAGGGCCTGGACAGAGCAGTAGCGCTCCAGCTGGCAGGGTGGCCTGTTCCCCTCAAGGCAGGGCAAGAGCCCCACCCTCACAGTGCACAGCCTGAGGTCCGTGTTCCCACTGCTGTCCTGACACTGTATTGTCACCACCACCCAGGCTGCCCCTCCTTGCTCCATCAGTGCTGTCCTAAGAGTGGAGGTTCTTAAAGTCCTCAAAGCTGAGGGTCAGGTTCACACCCTCTGCGTGTCACAGACCCACAAGACCACTCGAGTGGGAGAATAAGGGACCGACCCATGCCCTGTGTAAGTGGAGCACAGCACAGATGGTGGAATTTACAGGGCTGGCCTGCTTGGACCCTGAAGCGTGGCAGGTGACCCACGGGTGTGGCCGCAGAATGGGGAGGGAGCCTGGGGCATGGCGGCATCACGGCAGGTGTGCACTGCTCCCATGTCCCCAGCTCATCTCTGTCCTTGCACCATAGCTTCCCCACGGGCTCTTGGCTAGGTGCCAGCCCCGTCCCCTGCCCCCAAGTGCACCCCTTCGCCTGTAATGTTAACCTGAACATAATTCAGGCCCTTATTCAGGATGCCAGAAAAGGAAAGTTGGGAGTACAAATGGGGAGTGCCTGTTCATGTACTTCCCCTTGGCAATCTGCCCCGGGCTCCCTGGCCTCCTGCCAACAGACAGATGGGAGCCTGAGAAGGAGGGTGTGTTTGTGTGTGTGTAGGAGGGAGGATGGCATTGCCTCCGTAACCTGTTGCTCCCACCGCCGGGCTGCTGGTCTCCAAGACTCCCGGGAAGGAACCCGGCAAGGCCGAGGGCAACTGCCTTTCCCAGCAGAACCCCAGCCTACAGGGAGGGCTGTTGGTATTTTAGAAAAAACCTGCCAAGGCCACAGGACTCCCCTGAGCCACATATGTTCTTATCATGTCCTGCTTTCTTTCCAGAAAGGATTAGCAACGGTAGACAAAATTACAATAGGATAAATATAGGTCAGAGGAAGAAAGATCTGGAAAAGCAGCACTGAGGGTAGTACACAGCTCACTTCTCTACCTGGGCCTCTGCAGTTCAGGCAGCCTGCAAACTGGACTCGGCTTCCCCTCAGCCAGAGCAGAGAGAAGTTCACTTGTTCCAAGATTCCACAGGCTTGTAATGAACCTAGAAGGGGCTCAGCTCTTCCTGGTACTGAGATCTGAAAGGACATCTTGTGGCATCTTGGGAGGTTGGTGGTCCAGGTCCTAACAGGACAGATGCTGTGGCTCAATGTCTGTACCCACATTGCCCATCCACATGGTGAAACCCCGCCTCCAAGGTGATGGCATTAGGAGTTGGCGTGTTTGGAGGTTGGAACCGGAAGAAGTAGGTCCAAGGCCCTTCCAGAAGAGACTCTAGAAAGGCCCCTTGTCCTCCCTGCCTGGAAGAACGACTGGAACCAGAAAGAGGTTCTTACCAGACACTGAAGCTGCCAGGGCACCTGATCTTGGGCCTCCTTGCTGCTGTAACTGAGCCGTAAGCACCTGTTTAAACCCACGTGCTCACCATCTGGCATTTTATTGGAGCAGCTCTGCTGGACACGTGCAGGCAGGCAGGGCCCTCCAGGCTGTCCCTACGGAGCTGTTGTGTGTCCACTGAGCTTGGTGGCGAGGTATAGGAAGCCACACCAGTCTGGAGGGCCAGCCACAGGTGTCGCAAGCTGCTCATCCTGACTGCAGGTACCCACACATGCACACTCACCTCCCGGAAGTGCTGGGGGGCAGGCTCGCTCTGTGTTGCTGCGTGCTCTGGGATGCTGGAGCAGCCCCGTGGGCTTGGACCATGTCTGCAGGCACTGCCCCGTGTCTCACTAAAAACCAAGACACTGTGTTTTGTTATTTCCTCATTTCCATTTTTATTCCCAAGTTACATTTGGTTTTAACTCGAAAGCAAAAACAAACAGGAAGAGGCTTAGAGAAACTAGTCACCTGTGGCTTACGTTCTGTGATTGAGAAAGCGCTGCTTCTTGGTTGCACCAGAGTTTCCATGTACCTGTGACAGGGTGCCCAGGGCAGGTGGCCCAGCGTCTCACCTGGAATACAGGTCGGGGAGGTGGTATGAGGCAGTCCAACCTGAGGGCTGCAGGTCTAGGGGGTGGGTGTGCTGGCTTGTCAGTGCTTGCCTCAACCACACTGCCACCCCCTGTCCCCAGCTAAATCACGGTTGCTGGCAGACAGTGTGAAAGGCAACATCTACCGTTCAGACCCATTCGCTTTCTAGGTAGTGCCCACCGGGTGCCAAGCCTTCTGAGAGGATATAACTCATTCCGGCTCATGTCTGTTCTTCCATACAAGGCACTAAAATGTGGTCGTTAAGACATCTCTTGGGACAACCACATTTTCAAAACTTCCTGAACTCATGTTCCTGCTTTGTTCCTGGTTCCAGCTCCCCGCTGGTGCAGGCCCTGGGAGAAGAAGGCTCAAGGGCTTGCAATCCCATCACCCAGGCCAAAGTGCCCGGTTGAGGTCCTGGCTCCCCCGGCTTCGGCTTGGCCCCACCTGAGCTGGTGCAAACATGTGGGCAAGGACCTGGCGAAGGGGTGCTCTCGCTGCCTGTCTGCCTTTGAAACAAGCGTGTAGAGGTCATTGCATGTTCTATTCATGACTGGTGGTATTAAGAGGAAGGTGTTCAGATTACGTGTCAAATCCTTCTATCTTGAAATCCTTGGCTTCATATATTTTCTTCTCATGTTGAGATGAATGGAAACAGGCTCGTGGGCTAGCTGCAGAAGCTTGGGCAGGAGAACTGGTGAACTAGACCAGCAGGCAGCAAGCCATGAGTGGGGGACCCTTCCCATGGGGTGAAGACAGTGTGCTGGGACAGAAAAGGGCTACGGTGTGGGGGGGGGGAACTATGGGCGATGGACACTAGGGGTTCCCTGAGGGAGTGGTCTTTAAACCAGACCTGAGGATGAGGAGGAATTGGGACGTGAAGAGCAGAGATGAGCATGTTTGTGGAATCAAGGTCATCCCTGGCTTTGGGCCGAAGCTGCTTAGTGGTGGTGGTGACGTGCAGGGAGGTGGCCATGGGGGGTCAGTTTGGGCTCAGACGTGTAGAAGCTGCTTCAGGTGGAAATGGCAAGAAGGCAGCTGTGGCTGAGAGAGGGACCTAGCGCTGGTGCCCTGCCTTGACTTCCAGTGTGATGGGGAACAGGCGTCAGGCCTTGAGAAGGTGTTAGGGTTGGCTGAGGTCGTGAAGGTGGAGCCCCCAGAGCGAGTGTGTGAGTGGGGAAAGAGAGGCCGAGGCTGGAGCTCAGATGAGTACACGGCAAAAGCAGCCTACGGCAAGCCCCAGAGGCGAGCCCTCCTGGGAACCCAGTCTGCCAGCACCCTGCTCTCAAACTGCCCCGGGACCCTGAGAAATAAACTTCTGTTGTTGAAGCCACCCTGTCTACAGATTCTTCACAGCAGCCCAAGCAAAGTGAGCTAGCAGGTGTCTGTCTCCGTGTCTGGAACAAGTTGGTGGTGGCGGCGGGGGGAGATGGGATTCTAGCCCACCCAAGAAACAAGAGCCAGGGTAGCTGGGGGAAAGGGTGCTGCTGAGCCCCCAGGGAGCTCAGGGTGGGTGGGCTTGGTCCTCTCCCACCTTTCCTGTGCTCTCCTGAGCTCCTCCCAGCACCCCACTGACCCAAGCTGGGAGGGAGCAGACTGGGGTGCTGTGTGCCTCCTACGCCTGCCGCCCAGCCCCGCAGGGCTTGGTCTACAAAGCGGGCACAATGGCCTCCCTTGTCAATAGTCGGAGCTTGCAGGCTTTTTCCATTCACACTCTGTCTGCCTTCTGACCCAAGAATTATTTAGAGATAACAGACTGGAGGGCAGGCTGCGGTGATGAAAATGGACTTTTTCTGCAGACCTAATTGACCCAAAGGCAGATCAAATGCGTGACCTTGGCCCACCATCCATCACAGAGTTGTGGACAGGAGAATCAATTCTTTCCGGGGTCCCAGTAGCGGCTGTTCCCTGCTCTCTGGCAGCCTCTCTCCCTGCCTGCCACGTGGGTGTGGGCAGACATCCCCTGGGGGAACGTGACACTGTTCTTTGGGGTGTGGAATAGACACTCCAGCTTTGCTGATAATAATGGTTCACCTTGAA